GTACTGTACTATGTATTTAGCATCAGATATGTTATAAACTATTGATATTTGTATTTATTGGAATGTTAATTATACAGACTATAATTTATTATGCATTACGTATGTAATTAATTAATACAATAGTAATTATAATAATAATGAATAATGAATTAAATAGTAAGGTCTAATTAATAATCATAATGAAACAAGTAACCAAACAGGATAAACGATTGTTGAGCATGCGCAGTGTTCTTCTTTCTTTCAGCCAATCACATTAACTATTCAACTGTTAAAATAAGAAAAAAAAAGGACGAAAATCATTAATATTTATTAGATTACTTTAGGAAATATATTAATTATTAGGCCTATAATTATGCTTCGCAAAATGCAATTATTCAGTCAAGCACTGTAGATCCATAGTGGTCCATAGAAATGATCTTTCTACAGTGGTGCTTACAGTACTGAATCTGTCTCTTATACACATCTCCAGAGTACATTTTATTTTATAGCAAGATACCTGTATCTCTGCCCAGAAAGATCTCAATTACCTATAACACTCGACTCGAGTGCTCGTGCTTTTATTATAATTTGAGAAGTATGAGAAAAAACGTGCAAAGATATAAGAGTGGGTTTCGGCACATGAGTAGTATTTTCTATGGTTCATCACAGCGATTAATTAGATCGATAATGATGAATACTATATAACAGTGTCATATCCGACAATCTAGAGGTACAATTTCTCCAGATTTTTTATCACCTCAGCCTCAACTGTGGTGGAGCTGAGAGACGTGTGGACTCGCAGTGTTGAAGTAATTAAAGTCAATACATCAAAGACTATGTTTTCAAGTTTTATTTTCTATGGTAACGTACATCACACATACTAATTAGATCTCTATGGTTGCCGAAAATAGCTGATAAAAGATCAGGAGAATTTGTTGGCGCCTCATTTTGTCTATATTATTATAATGGTGATGTGATGATGGTTTTTACTATTTAAAAGTGTCATTTCTGGCCATCTTGAGGCCAGTACTATTTCCTCAAAATTTTCTCACCTCAACCCCAACCATGACGGGGCTTATTTGAATGTGGCCACACGACTTTGAGGTAGGTCGAGTACATTAAATACATCAAAGCAAGTGTTTCTTAAATTTTATTTTCACGGCTTTGAAGTAGATAGAGTAAATACATCAAAGACAATGTTTTTAAGTTTTATGTGTATATTAAACATACTAATAACTAGATCTCTGTGGTTGCCGAAAATCGTTGATACTTTTGACTATATAATAGTAATATGATGATGAATTTTACTATATAAAAGTGTCATTTCCGGCCATCTACAGGTACTATTTCCTTAAATATTTGGAGGCACCCCCTACCGCCAAATTTTGCATCCACCCCAGTATATCTTTACTAATTTCTGCCGGCCTATCCTTATTCATGGGACACCCTAGTAATGGGGACACTTGTGTTGGTCCGTCCCGAAGGTGTCCACTTGATAGTGGTTATATTTTATTTAAAATTATGAATTGTTCATGTGGTATTGTTCATGTGGTATTACTTAAATTTCCATCTTATTTGCATATGTTATACAAAATAGTAATGGAAATACCACTTCTAAAGCGCATTGAAATGTACATCAAATTTGGTAAATAGATGATTGTTTAAATAATTATATTATTAATGAAGATAATTTAAATAAATGCATATTACATTGAAACAAAACACACATAATTAGTAAACGAAGTAATTGCGTGTAATTGCCTTTATTAGGTAAAAACCCCTCTATTGTATATCAATTACTGTACTGTACTATGTATTTAGCATCAGATATGTTATAAACTATTGATATTTGTATTTATTGGAATGTTAATTATACAGACTATAATTTATTATGCATTACGTATGTAATTGACTAATACAATAAATTAATACCATTAATTTAATAATTATAATAATAATAAATAATGAATTAAATAGTAAGGTCTAATTAATAATCATAATGAAACAAGTAACCAAACAGGATAAACGATTGTTGAGCATGCGTAGTGTTCTTCTTTCTTTCAGCCAATCACATTAATTATTCAACTGTTAAAATAAGAAAAAAAAAAGGACGAAAATCATTAATATTTATTAGATTACTTTAGGAAATATATTAATTATTAGGCCTATAATTATGCTTCGCAAAATGCAATTATTCAGTTAAGCACTGTAGATCCATAGTGGTCCATAGAAATGATCTTTCTACAGTGGTGCTTACAGTACTGAATATTAAATTGTCAGCGTTTTCCTTTCATTCTAGTTAGTTTAATATAACATCGCCATAACCTTGTCATTTGATTGGTTTGTTTAACAACACATTGGGTTGGCCTACCATTTAACGAACGAAAACAAACTTATTATAGAAAGACTTGAGACAATAGACCTCTCCGAAGTGTCAGTCAAACTTAACAATTCACTAATCAGAGCAGCACTAGGAATACGCGCGCGTCTTACAAACACACGTGTTGTCCAACAAACGCACGTGTTCGCCTATGTTTTAACACTGTCGTCTTGTGGGACATTAGCAACAATATCCAAGGGGCGGAGCTTAGCGGAAAGGTCCATTATATGTAACTTAGCTTTAACTTAGACTGTACTCATTATTTTATGTTTCGTTCCTTTCCAAAATGAAATCTTGGAACTGTAGACTCGAGTTCTTAGTCCACATATCAAGCGCCCTGGGCATCTTATTTGATGGATACGGCGCTATTTAATAATAATAATAATAATAATAATTTATTATTATTATTATTATTATTATTATTATTATTATTATTATTATTATTTTTCTTATTATTATTATTATTATTATTATTATTATTGTTATTGTTGATGTTATTGTTGTTGTTGTTGTTGCTGTTGATGATATAAAAGATTTAAGATACTTTCCCAGTTAGTATTAATACAAATTTAACTAACCGAATAATAAATGATCAGCGCACAATTTTGAACATCCTTCTAATTCTTCTTATTCCTCCAATATTTCCTCCTATATTTCCTCTTCCTCCCCCTCCAACGTACTCTGTGCCTAAGTTTTGGACGACATCCCCTTCCTGTACATATATATACAGCTATAAAAAAAAAAATCTTCAGGTGTGATGCTTCGGATGCGTATTGCTATCAACATAAACATATATTTCGAGTCATTATTTTGTACGTACGAGATAAATATCTAGTATGTACCGCCGACTGCTCATTGCCGGACAGCTATAGGCTTAAGCTTAAACCATGCATTTACTTACACTCGGATATAATAATAAAACGGTTATCGATGTTTCATAATAGCAAATTAAAAATTACATAGCGTAACGACTACTCATGGGGTCCGGAACCAATAAAATGGGGGATGTGCATTGCGTTTCAGGTATTTTTGCTCTACACTTTGAGAGTTGAAATCTACCTAATTTTCAAGGCGTCGGAGGCGATCCGGCTGGTCCGGTTTTGGCTGGACCAGGAATTTACAACTCAATATCGTTTGTACTTTCTATGACTCAACTTCTCTTTCTTTTTTTTTTTGTTTTTTTTTTTGACAAAATTAATTGACCTGACTTCAAGCAACAAACAAATCAGTCAACCTTGTCTAAATGTAATACCCACCCCATTCTCTTGGTGAAGATAGCGGTCCCTTTGATGTTGCATTTACTGAAAACATGAGTCGCCTGTCGAAATTCTTACCATGTGTTTGGAAAAAGAGGTGTGGTGTGTGGGAAAAAGATGATTGTCATGTGAGACACTTGCTTATCAAAATCAGAATGGTTAGAACAAATACGTTTAATGTGGAGGCATTAATAGAGCGTTTAAGGCTGATGGGATGAAAATTATGGAAATCCAAGTAATACCCTAAGTAGTTTAGTTTCACCGGACTCCATATCTATGAATGTAATATTCTAAAAGACTTGTCAATGTAGTAGACAGAAACACAATGATGTCTACTTTAAGATCTTGTAAAACCAAAGTTAAGAAACATGGTTTTAAGTGAATTCTCCTCAAAATGTCATGCTAAAAGGTCAGATAGGAACATATGTCTGAATAATTTGAGACCAAAACGAGTCTCTACAAACAGGCACAAAAATAAGGAAATCTTCCAAAAAATAAGGTCATAGGTGAAATATTACATTTCCCGTCATTCTTGGAGAAAATGTTACATTAAAGTAAATAGAAATGTATATGTTCTACAATTTAAAAAAAAAAAGAAAGCAAGTCTGTACGGTTAGTGGTTGCCGAGATATGCTGCATGCATATCCCTAATTGCAAATTAGATCTAATTTGCATATTAGATCTAATTTGCATATCAACTAAGGTGTAATTGCACCAGCCCCACCTCTGTGTATTTTGATTATTATAATTATATAATTAATTTATTCTATTTCAAGAGCTAGATTTTATGGGACTAATTAAATCATTAATTTTGTATATTAAATATGTTAAAAATAGCTGAAATATTTAAAATAGCGGTCATTTGGAATTTCAATTTTAAAGTGAAATATTATTTTTATTTTCATTGGCACTTATAATATGAAAGAATATTTTATACATTAGCATCTTTTTAATATCATAAACGTACAATTATTGGTAATAAAATGCTTGAAAATAGCGGACATTTGAAATTGGTGGGTACCCCCTTGCGCATAAAAGAAACAAAATGACACATAATTTTATATTCAGTGATGTCAATTATAAAATATATACCAGTTCCGATTTTTTTTAATATAGCAAAAAAAAAAAATCATTTTTATTAAAAAAAAAAAAAAAAAAAAAAAAAAAAAAAAAAAAAAAGCAAATAAGCAACCAACTAAAATTTCCTGGACAACTCACCTGGGTCTCGGCGAATTCTACTTTTCTCTACAAGCTCTTCAAGACGAAATTGAAAAAGATAGAAAACAACGTTTGATGTAGAGTTAAAAGGTCTATATGTGTGTTTGTGAATATATAAGAGCAGGTTATATTTATATTTGAAAATATTAATTGCAAACAAAATTCCAATTTAGCTGATAATAAATTATATTAAATATTTCTAAACTATCGCATCTTGACATGTGCTGGTGAAACGTACCATTTTCATCAGGTAAAGCGTCAGCAAAGACACATTCAGCCAGAACACACACTATCAGGAATACAGCCAACACTTGCAGGGTACTAAAATAAAAATACTCATTGTAATCAATTGTATTTTGCCGTACGACCGTCGCACGACGAATCAACTCCCGCTCCATGTAAGAACTAGCCGACGCGACGCCGACTGCTCATTGTCCGTGGCAGTTTGTAGGCCTACAGATAATAATCTATACTTGAATCTTTACTTTTACAACAGTGGCACACGATGACGGTGCGTTCACAAAGATGACAAAATAGACAATACAACACCATACAACAAATATAAAAACAATTATATATTGATAGTATATGAAAAACATTGTGTAAAAAACGACTTTAAAATAACTTAAAATAAAAACATTTTAAAGCTTGTTAAAACTGGCTGTTAAAATTGTTTACAAAAGAGAGTTATAATGGGTTAAAATAATTGAAACAGCGTTTTTTACACATTGTTTACCTGTTATTTACGTTATATTCATTCATAATTTTACTCCTTGTTTGCCAAACTCTTTTTAGGTAAGACTCAAATATTTTATCAATTGTTGTAGGTCTACTTATATCATTATTATTTCTATAGAACTGTTTCTACATTTTACGGATGATTTTATTTTGATTTCTATTATGCGCCTACGATTTTCTTTCTTCTACTATATACCGTTGCTACCACCACCTCCACTGCTGCTACTACTACTCTACTACTACTACTAATAATATAATAATAACGATTTGTAAAGAGCAAACATCACCACCAAAACTGGTGCTAAAGGCGCAGTGTCTAAAAAAGAACAACAGTAGAAAACAAACAAGAATCACAGACATCACAAGGAAAATAGGCCCCCAGCGGGAGCGTCTGTCTATTGCTCATGCATACCCTCGCCTAGTAGCTTATAATTAGTTAGGCCTGGTCAGTGACGATCTAGCCCCCACGAGATCTATTCTATACACTAATACTAACAGCAGCAGCAGCAGCAGCAATAATAATAATGACTTATAACGCGCACATCTCCACTAATGTTGCTAAAGGCGCAGAGCACAAGCAATGCATAGGGCTGCTACGAGTCAACGACGTACTGTACGACTGAAAGGCGGGCCGATGACGGATAAACCAGCATATATTGAGTTAATGTAGACTGAAACTCGACGAAAAGAAATAAGTCTCAAAGCATATATAAATTACACAATAACCATGTTGCAACTTTTATTATGCTATTTATCTTTTATAAAATTATTTAACGAATAAAATAATTTTTCTAAATGAAATAGAACTCAGTAGTATGATTTACTACTGAAACGAAATGTTACTTACCGTGTACTTGACATGATTGGTGTAGAGTCAGTGCTCAAATGAACAAGTATTTCATAAAATTGTAAACTATATAGGAAAATTTTTCTAACATTTGCATATGGATAATACATGTTTATTAGGTATTTCACCAATAAAAGCAATACGTAGGCGAGTAATTTAATTTTATTATCACTATAAAATTACTTTTACTACGAACTCAGATGGCAATAAATACGTCCCATTTTTAAGAAGATAGTTTGACATTGTCAGTGCTCAATTGAGCAAGTATTTCATAAAATTGTAAACTATATAGTACAATGTTTCAAACATTTGCATATGGATAATACATTTTTATTATGATCAGTTTTAGGTATTTCTCCAATAAAAGCAGTACGTAGGCGAGTAATTTAATTTTATTATCACTATAAATGTACTTCTATTTTCATCTATATATGTGAATATAAACCTACGAACACAGATAGCATTAAATATGTCCAATTTTTTAATAACATTGTATGACATTTAAAATTGGTATTATAAGTCAGTGGTGACGTCATCACTTTTATTTGCACTGAACTTTCCTATTCCCGACTGATCACTAATCGATATAGTGCCTCCGATTTTTTTGCGTCCCGTGTGGAAAAAAAATTTAAAGCTGGGGTGATTTTATTAAAGTACAAAGCAATGGACTATTTCATTGTTAGGCCAAGCTATACAGCGAACCTAACAAATCTCGCTTTACGGCGCTGATTAATACGAATGAGACCGTCTTAGGCAACACCTGAAAGGCTAATAACAAAGTGATTGACTTATAAAAGAACTTAATATAAGGCAACTCTGAAATAATTCATAATAATGATTACAATACACTTTAATCTATTAAATAAATGTCTACCAGGAGGTAAGGCCTAACTAATAGCCTCTAATAAACTGCACTAACCAGAATCAATTTATTCATCTTCGTATCGTCAAAGAGTAGAAACACAAGATAGAGTTCTCCACAGCAAAAAAAAAAAAAAAAAAAAAAAAAAAAAAAAAAAAAAAAAAAAAAAAAAAAAAAAAAAAAAACTGTACAACCGAAATGCATAGTGGAAATACAAACAATGGGGCGCCGCGTACGGCTGGATCTAAAACTACTGCCATCGTTACATCTGGGAATACATAATCTCCTTTTGCGGAGGTTGAAATCGTTCCCATTATCCATAAGATACAAACAAGTAGGCATAAATAAATCAAAACAATAAAATTACAGACACAAAAGCACAATCGTATGACCGGACTCTGATTAGTGATTAAGTTCTGAACTTAGGCTAAGGGGGTAAACCCGGCTCAACTCACCGGGTTTATCCACCTGCCAGTCTAAAATAGGTGGCTTATCTCAAGCCGGGCTGTGTTCCTATAGTAAATAGTATTTTTTTGAAAGCATTAAATCTAACCTAAAGTATAATAATTTTTCGCTAGTGTAATTAATAAATAAATAAATAAACGAACGAACGCACGAACGAACGAACGGACGAACGAACGAATAAAATAAAAGCAAATGAGTTAAATTAAGACCATTTACAAAGACTTATTAACAACTAGGTCTACAGTACGGAGACGGTGAATAACTATTGTAATTTGTATTGTGTTAGAAGAACTGTTTGTAATGCTATTTTGATACATTCGTCAAAGAAATACTGTAAACATTTCTTAAAGCATTCGAGAAAAAATACAGTCACTGACTTTATGGTCGGTCCAGGCAAGTAAAACTGACTTATAAAGCAATTATAGTTAAGCAAATTCGTACACTATAGGAAATAGAAGTCTCAGGAATTATTATTTTCTTTAAAAATTGCCTTCAGCCATGCGGGCTTCGGGCAATTTTTTCAGGAAATAATGGATCCTTCGGCTAATATTTCCTATAGTGTCCTCAAAACCCTCACTACAATTGCTTAAAATAAACTTGTACGGATTTCTTTGTTTGTGAATCTAAGGCAGGCTGCAGCAAATTGACAGCGTGTTTGATATTAAGAACACAGATGGCATTAAATACGTCAAATATTTCATAATATAATTTGACATTTAGGTCATGGTATAATTAATAAACTTTAAATATTATATACAATGTGTTTATAGGTATCTGCATTAAAATAGTCGATATGTTAAGTACGATATTCTTGAACGTTAGGCAATGTAAATTACAATAGAACCCTTTCTTTTGGACACCCCTATTCAGGGGACACCCCTATTAAGCGGACACATTTCTGTGAAACGAGGGGAAATATATCTTTTAACGCTACAGGAAACACCCCTATTAAGGGGACACACTACAGTATTCACAAAACAAGAAAAAGAAAATCATTCAAATAAACTTACCCTCAAACCAGAATATTTTCCATCCTTAAACTGGGCATTGGATGCCAAGTGCATGTGTTACTTCGTATAAATAAAATCTTGTCAATTTTGACCATTAACCATGGCAAAAGACACAAGCGACTTGCACAGCGAGAGTTTCGAACCCCCACCTCAAGGTTGGGAATCCAAGCCACAACCGATGCGCCAACCACTTCTGACGAATGATTATACCAAATGATTCAAAACTATTGGTTTGACCATAAATTTTTTTTCGCAGTTGTTTTCAAATGTACTGAGTATTCGGTATATTTCCACGTCAGGTAGGGCAAAATTACACCTATACATGTTTCTCCTGACGCAATCCATTTATTGTCTATTCCATCACGACAATAAAAATTACTATCAACACTGCAGTACCCGCTACTTACTTGAACTCGAATTCAACCCTGGCCATCAGGCGCAAGCTCGGTGGTCTAGAGGTATGATGCCAGGCTAGTGATCTGGAGATCGTGGGTTCGAGTCCCACCCGAGAACAACTTGCGATTTTTTTTCGCAGTTGTTTTCAAATGTACCGTACTGAGTATTCGGTACATTTCCATGTCAGTTAGGGCAAAATTACACCTATACATGTTTCTCCTGACGCAAATCCAGTTATTGTCTATTCCATCACGACAATAACAATTACTATCAAAAGATTGAATCGATAGCATGAATCGTGTACATATTTTGAGTATAAGTAATTAAGAAACGAATATCATATGTATGAAATACTTCAGTGGAGGAAACCAATTTTCAACATATTCTTATATAAATTATATATATATATATATATATATATATATGTATACATAATTAAATATATATGGCCTATATATAAATTATGATATAATGGATAAAATCCAAACTAGCTTTATATATAATAATAATAATAAACGAATACCATACCTTACTGGAGAAGAACTTCAATCTATCGAACGTTTTGTTTGGAGCAATGGTTTTATTATATTTTTATGATGTTTACAATTCTTAGTGTGACTTCAATTTTTTTTTTAAATAGTTATTTTTTAAGTAGTTTTATATAATGTGTAGGCCTATATATAAAATGAAAAAGAGGGCCGATTTAACCTGCCGGGCCGGTATTGTATTATTAATTGTGAATGCGTCATCGGCGTTCCATACATATACACGCATTGACGGCCGTTCTGAAGGGCGGCCGCTATTAGGTAGCGGCCGATATGGGCCTACTCCAACGTAATAACGCCAGCTAGTTTGCTACTGAATGTAAGTTATTATAGTAGCAGTTTTATGAAACACAAAACATAGTTTCTGAGAGTATTCATATAGTACTTTACATTTTGTCAATTCTTAACAGATAAAAACATACAATTTTTTTTCTCTTCTAGTTTACTGAATTATTTTATATTCTTTAGTACAGTGATGAGACAATCCCTATCTATTGACTGCATGTCGACTATTTAGAAAAATATTCCTCAAGTCAATGATACAGTAGCTAAAGTAGTGTGTCCTAGTAATTTATACAGTATATTTATTTTTTTTTTGAAATATATATTTTTTAATTAAAATTCAGTATACAATAGAATGCCATGGAAACCAGTAACCACATAGTCCCCTTTACTACAGTAGTGGCTAAATAATTAGCCACACCTTAACTGAACTTAATCTGTATTTGCTGTATGTCTATACCGTAGATTGAGTTTAATACACACTCAATGCAAAACCGTAAAATAGTTAGAATTGAAAAAAAAAGATAAAATTATGTAGGTAAATTTTTTTAATTTGCTTTACTCTACAAAACTGAAAAAAATAATAAAATTCTATAGGTCAGTATTTTTTAATAACTAATTGAAATTACATAATAAAATATATAAATATCACAAGTTTTAATACTTTGTTTATTACTGTATTAATATAAAAATACACCATTATGTCATATCAAAATTTAATTTAATAAATAAATAACATTTGAATTTTAAATCATTATTGATTATATTATATTTCATTATATTATTGATGAGTTTGGACTTGAGGAAAATGTTAATTTTGACTTTTCTTACTGGTCTTCTTTGGTCTTGTGAAAAAATGCAGTGATTGAATTGTGACTAAATCTTGCCTTTTCTCTACAGAAAATAGTGTATGCAAGCAGTAAAAAGTGGAGCAAATCCAAGTTTATACATGACTAACAGAACAAGTTTAAGGTAAAGTTCACTGATTGCAAGAATTGTTAAATATCAGACAAATATTAGTACTTATTTATACAGTAATTAAATAAATTATTCTAAAATTGGTCACTTGATTAACTAATAATGCCTGCCTGTCGTCTGCTGAATGTATTAAAGAGCAGTTTTATGAAACACAAAATAACATTAAAAT